TCTGACTATTTAATAATTAAATATCAACTTAAAAGTAAATGCAATTGTTGATGAAACTCTTGGATTAATTTAAAAAAATTATTATTGGTTTAAAATACAATAAAATGAATAGTTAAAATTAAAATCCTAATTCATTTGAGAATAAACTTTTCTATACCTATACACATAATCATTCTAGTAACATAAAAAACAAAAATATTCTGATTAAATACATCTGAATTACAAAACGAAAAGAAAATCTGACAATGAGTAAAAATATACAATTAAAGTAGATTGAAACATGTACTACTTTGATGTGACAAATATAATATATAATACTAACATAAATATAAGATCAGATGTTAGTTCATAATGATTACCTTGAAACGAATATTCATCTTGAAACGAATACAAAACATACTTTCTCATTTCAACGAAGCATACTTACGTAAATCAAAAGCTTTACACAGTGGTGCTAATGTAAACAAGCTTATCAGTTGTCCTTGATCAGTTTATAAGAAACTCTATAGATTTGTTTTAAAATAAGACAAACATAATTTAAATATTATTTTGAATTGATACCCTCTCACACCCATTGTGAAATTATTTAAAAAATATATGTGAATATTATGATATATATATATATATAAACAATTTTATTTTATTGCTGATGAGATAAAGTAAACGTTTATTTTTCAATTCTAATATCTAATGTTTACAACTGTCTATTTGATTTTTACTATTATTTAGTCTCATGATCTGATACTATAAAACACTGTTGCAAATGAAAATGCTTTTTGTAGTAACTAGAAATAATATATCAATAATTAATACAAAATATACTAGAAATATATATTGTTTAAACAATATGTTTTGTATTACCGCAGCAAAAACTTCATGAGATGATAGATATATGCCACCAATAGAAAGAGAACTTGGTTTCATGGTTCTAGTTATTAAAAATAATAATAATTTTTGAGTTTTTACAGATAGCATGTAAAAAGGTACTTGACGTCTGTAAATTAATGTAAATTTTATACGTCATAAATTGTATAATTAACATTATATATGAATGAATATTATATGATCATCATTACAATTCTTCGAAAACATTATTACTATGATCCAATAATTTTTGTCCAACGTAAAAAACAATGTAGACTTCAAATATACAAATAACTGTATAAGAAATCATTTCAATATTATCACCAATGTGTTTCAAATCAACAGATAATTGAAGTAACTGTAAAAAAAAAACAAAAAAAAATTGTATATAATCCTACATAAATAACTAATATGATACATAACTTATAATACATAATAACTACTATGTATATATTGTAATCAAATATATTCACATATAATAACTAATATAAAATTAATATTTATACAAGAAAGAAAATGTATTACTTACACAAACAAAATTAACAATGATTTCTAGCATTGAAATAAAAATAGATACCAATAATATCAACTTGGATACAGCATTTAATAATTCTATAAGCCTTCAACAAACATGAAATTCAAAAGAAACAACATTAAAAACAAATCTTCATTATTTAATATTATATTGTAATAATTGTTAAAATCAAAAAATGATAATCAATTGAACCAACTCTGTTACTCTTTTATAACGTTTGATAATATCAGTGATCCAATTAAATTCATCGTCAGATTTTTGAAAAATATTCAAATCATCTTGCATGAATGGTCTGCGTATTTTCAATCTAAAAAAATTGAATAATAATAATAATAATAATAATAATAATATATATATAAATATAAGATTATATTTTTGTAATGTTTATAAATTAAAATACGTACATTATAATACTAAATTGACTAGAAGCGTGCTGTACTGATACCAAAAATGACGATAATATTAATATCGTTATACTTAATACGATAATTAATATTATTATTTGATAACAAAATAAACAGTAATGTAACAGGCCTACATCAGAAACAGTATTTATCGATAATGGTAATGTTAAACAAATCTCATCAAATATACCTAATTGATATGCAATAATATTTAAAATTGATGGAAGTGATGTTATCATGATGTACAAATTGGATGTTACTGAAACAAAGCAAACAAACAAACAAAAATAAAATTTTACTTACTACAACAATAATCAAATATTATTATTATTATTATTATTATTATTATTATTATTTATAATATAAAATATATTTTATTATAAAATTAAAAAACTATATGTTTTTCACCTATCATAACCAATGAATAATATTTGCTTTGTTTCGTATACTTTTCAATAATATTTAATTCATCGTCATCAGTAACAAGTTCATAATCTTCTTTAATGTGTTCAAAAACTAATGTCATCTGTAAATAACCATCTATGTAATATCAATATGTAATACAATGAAATGTGTATAAATTAATGGAAAATGAAACAATATTGATACTAACTGTTTTAAAATTCAGAAAAATATACCAAAAAAGGCAACCAAATAGTAATGAAAATAGTATTCTTTGTAACAATTTGATCAACAATACTAATTTAATATTTGTCATGAAAAATTGATAACACTGAAATCAAATAAATTTCCGTTCAATTTAAAACATATCATTGATTTATGAAAAAAATAATTAACATTACCATTTGAAACATTACTGGTAAGATGAATATGAATAGACTTAAGAAAATGAGCAAACGTTTGAATAAACTTATGTCAGGTAATACACCTAAGGTAAATGCAACAAGTTTTTTCGAATAAAGAAAATGACGTTCATATGAGTATAATGCTTTCAAAAACATATCAAATGTATCAAATGTTTACGACAAGAAAGCAAAGAACAAACTAATATTACTTCCCTTTCACATGCATTAGAAATTGTCTTCAAGTGTGGTAAATAATACTCAATATATGAAAAATTTATTATAATGATCTAATCAATACAACAACCCTTCTTATTCGCACTTATTATAATTATTGTTACCTGTGTGGAATTGATACTGTTCTCAATAATAAAAAGTTATACCTGAAAATGTGTGTGGTGACAGGTGTGGTGTTCCCAGCAATTAAGAAAAGGGTTGTTTTTTACCCTCTACTTTGATTTTCAAAAGACATGCGCACAAGCTTCATTTCATGAAATCACAGTCATTCGTTTTCCAACCATGGTACAGTACACTTATATTTTAAAAATGATCAGTGAATTTTTTTACTTTCACTTTCTTCATGAGTAATCTTGACTTTTGCTAACTTGTGTATTAGTGTTAGAAAAAGTAGTGCAATTATTTGAATGATTCTAATGTTAATGCAATAATTTGTTAATAAATAAATAAAAGTATTCTATAAAGTACTATATAAAGTATTATATAAAGTTTTATAAAAGTGTTAACTTGTTTTCACTTTCACTCTAATGCAAGTGAATACTTTTGATTGCCACCCAAAAATGTGAGTATTTTATGGAATAATTTAATGTGATGATTACTCATTAATTAATTTAAAGAACACTCATGTTATTTTGAATAAAGTAAGTTCAAAAATATTTTACTTAACATTCATAAATATAGTTGTTCATTGTTCATTTCTATTAACTTCATTATATTTCATTATATTTCATTCATTATATTAACTTAATTATATTTAACTTACATTTTATTATATTCGATTAATTATATTTAAATTTAATTGTTCATTTTCCATTTCTATTAACTTTGTAATCTTCATATTTAAAATAAATAAACAAAAAGTTATACATATGTTTAAATATAATAAAAATGATATTAATCAAAAACTTCTTTGTTTTACAAACATCATTTGTAATTAATCAGTATAATAGAAACAAAATATTTATTTTAAATAAAATAATGATTAGCAAATTGTGTTTTCTCATGTATATAATAAATATGATATTTAATATACTGACAAATTTATTTAAGTAATATATTTAAGTAGAAAATTTTCATATTATTCAAAAAAATTATGCAAATATCACAATGGTGAATATAAACAATGTCATTGTATTGCACATCACACTAAGTATACATTTATTATTCAATTCAAAATGATTAACAGCTGTATATTTCATTTTCGTTATTACTTGATTTCATGATTTGAAACTGTGAAAAACAGTTGCAAATGAAAATGTTTTTTGCATTAACTAGAACAAAAAGTTCAATTATTAATAAAAACAAATTGTATTACTATTATTATTATTATTTGAATATATTAAAATTAATTAAAGTTCAAATATTAATTTATTATTATATAAAATATGTTTAAATTACCGCTGACAAAACTTCGAGGGATGATACGAACAAACCACCGATCGAAAGAAAACTCGGTTGCATGCTTCTGGTTATTAAAAATAAAAATAACTTTTGCGTTTTTATCGATAACATGTAAAACGGTACTTGACACCTGTAAATAAAATAACAATTATATATCAACAATTTTTTGAAAATTAAATTAACAGATATAAAAACTCTGATATATTATAGACTTACAATTCTTCAAAAACGTAATTACTTTGATTCAACAATTCTTGTCCAATGTAAAAATAAATATAAACGCTAAACATAGTACCAACTATGAAAACAAACATTTCAATATTCTCGCTAATGTCTTGCAAATCAACAGATAATTGAAATATCTGAAAAAAAAAAAATAAAAAAATCAAAAATCAAATGTCCAATCAAAAATAAATTCATTTAAATAAATACATTTTTTTTAATTTAATCGAATATATATATATATATAGTGTGTTTAATTATTTAGTAAATTGTAACAACATACAAAATAATACTACAATTAAAATGGAATACATAAAATAATAATACAAGAAAAACTATAAAAAAATAAGGTTAGTTGAGTCATATGTAAACTTGAAAAAATACTTGAAATAATTAAATTGTAGTACAGTGCCATCTTTTGAAATTGTACAGTACCAAAAAACTTAGATAACCTCTAAATAATAAATCTTTACATTAGCGATAAAAAATAAAAAATAAACGCGATACAAACTATCCTATGTACTAAGTAAAGAAAAAACATATACATATACAAATAAATATATTTATATATTCGATTATATATATATATATATATATATATATATAAACATGACAATTATACTTACGTAAATGAAATTGATCATGAGTATCAGAGTCAAACAAAAAATTATGATCAATAAAATGATCTCTGTTAAAGCATTGATTAAATTGATTAATCTTTAACAAACAAACAAAGTTAAAGAAAAATTATAAAATCACTTTTGCAATAATATATATATGTACATATTTTTTTAAAATTATTATTCATTCAAAATAATTATCCTAAATTGCACTAACTTCGTAACTCTTTTATAACGTTTTATTATATCAATAATCCAATCCAATTCATTGAAATGTTTCCAATTATTGAAATGATCTTTTATAAATGGTCGTCGTATTTTCATACTAAAAAAAAAAAAAAAAAAAAAAAAATATATAAGACCAGATTTATCCAGGTAATTTAAAAACATATATATTGTTTAAACAATAAACACTTACGCTATAATTTTAAATTGACTAAATGCGTGNATATTTTTTTAAAATTATTATTCATTCAAAATAATTATCCTAAATTGCACTAACTTCGTAACTCTTTTATAACGTTTTATTATATCAATAATCCATTAAAATACTAATTAATTTTTCATACGAATTTGAAAATCTTATCGTAGAATAAAAAATGATGTTTCTAAAAAAAAAAAAAAAAAAACAAAATTATATAAGACCAGATTTATCCAGGTAATTTAAAAACATATATATTGTTTAAACAATAAACACTTACGCTATAATTTTAAATTGACTAAATGCGTGTTGTAAAATAACCAAATATATCGAAAAACTGATAATTAATATTGTAAGTCCTAAATACATTACTAATAATTGATAAATAAGTAAACAATAATAACGTAATCCTATATCAAAAACACTACTAAAATAAAATGGTAATGTTAAACGAATATCATCAAATATACCTAAATAATACAAAATTATTTGTAATATTGATGGAAATGTTAATAACATGATATAGAAATGGGAAAGAACTGCAACACAATGTAAAAATATTAAATATATCAACATAATTTGTAATATTAATTACAATATTAATGAATTAATTATTCTTACCAATCATAAACACTGTATAATACTTGCTTTGTTTGGCATACTTTTCAATAATATTTAATTCCTCGTTATCCGTAACAAGTTCGTAATCTTTTTTAACGTGAACAAAAACCATTGTCCTCTGGAAATAAAATCTCTTAATTGTTAATCAATATTTAATTTATAAATAAATCAAAATAATGTTTAAAAAAAAAAAGAAACATAAATATGATACTAACTAATTCAACGTTAAGAAAAAGATACCAATAAAGGAAAACAAAACATATTGAAGAAAATATTCTTTGTAACAATTTGATCATTAATTGTAGTTTTAAATTAGTCATAAACAATTGATAACACTGTAATCAAAATATAAAACAACGTAAGTGTGTGTACACTTGAATAATAATAATAATAATAATAATAATAATAATCATTCTAAAATTTGTTATTCACTTAAAATCAAATTAAAATGGATTTTGTAAATATGATTGAAAAAACATTACCATTTGAAAAAATATCGGTAATGTAAAAATAAATATAACTGTAAAAAATGCAAAACGTTTTTTCACATTAATGTCAGGCAATACACCGATAGCAAAGTTAACAAATTTTTGTGAATAAAGAAAATGTTTTTCGTATGAGTATAATGCTTTCAAAAACATAATGAAGTATCATCTAACGTTTACGATAAGAAAGCAAACAACAAACTGACACATTATTTCTATTTTATGCATTATAGTTGTCTATGAATAGAACACCCCTAATATTTAATATCAAAAATTTATTATATAATGATCAAATCGATAAAACAAAATAATTCTAACCTCATTCATCATAATTATGGTTATTAGTGTTCTTTCACAATATTCAAAAGGTATACCTTGCAAATGTGTATACAAACAGGTGTTTTATTCTCAGTAATTAAGGAAGGGTTGTTTTTCTACCCTCTACTTTGATTTTCAAATGACATGCGCACAAGTTTCATTTCAATTCAGTTGGTAGTCATTCGTTTTCCAACCACAGTACAGTTCACTTATTTTTATAAAATGTCACTGTATATTCTCACATCATTTTTACATCTTGATTAACATTAACTTGTGTATTAATTTGACGATAAAAGTATAATAATTTGAATAAGATCAAATTTAAATAAAGTATTTTAGTATGTGTGTGTGTGTGTGTATGATGGTTTACTAATAAATTAAAATACAGTATAATATAATTTTCATTTTTTTTTTTTGAAAATGTAAATAAAAATATGTTTGATTTTATTTTACGTGCAATTACTTTTGTTAAGAGTGTATATTTAATAATAATTATTTAAATAAACAAACAAGTGGATTTTTTTTTTTTTTACGTACAAATAAGGTGAGCAAACAATATTTTATACTTACAGAATTTTAATTGTTCAATTTTCATTTTTACTGTCACCATTATTTTTATATATTTAAATACAAATAAATAATAAATGACACACACAGACGTACAAGTAAAATAAAAAATAATCATTTAGGTACGTGTTTATGTAATAATAATAATTTATAAATAAATGAGGTATTAGTTTATTAAATAGTAATAATTAGAAATAATTTACAAACAAATTTTTTCAAATTATTATTAATAAACAAATAACCTTGTAGTATAAACAATTATTTATCCAACTCGTAAAAAATAATGGAAAATAAATATTATAATTTAAAAGAGCATTATTAAATTAACAGAGTGTGCAAATTAAAAAATATAATTTTTTAAACAAATATTTAACATAACAATATCAACAATTACTTTAATTATCTATGGGAAAAAAAATGAATAATCTAACAATAAAAAATAATGTAATATAAAAAATAGTATAATACGAAAAAAAAAATATTTTCAATTGATTGAAATTGTTAAAAATGATTAGAAATACAAAAATCTAATTGTTATAAATAAAATACAAATACAACAATGTGTGTTTTCGTATTTAATATATCAATCATGCAATAAACAATTGTATTAAAAATAAATTCAATCATTTGTTCACATACCATATTTATATTAAACAATAAAACATGCGAATAACATAAAATATAATTCAATGATGATAATTTTTTTGTGCTCGTCTGATCAATTTTTTATTTTCTAATTCTAAAATTTACAATTATACATTTTGACTATATTTTCTAATAATTATTATTTAGCTTATTCATGATTTAATACTATAAAATACTGTTGCAAAAGAAAATGCTTTTCTTAGTAACTAAAATGAAAGATAAATCGTTAATATAAAAATACATTCAAAAAAAAAAACACACAAAAAACAAAATATGTAAATTGTTTAAACAATATGTTTATATTACCACAGCAAAAACCTCGTGAGATAATACGCATAAACCACCAATTGAAAGTGAACTTGGTTTCATGCTTTTTGTTAGCAAAAATAAGAACAATTTTTGAGTTTTTACAGATAACATGTAAAAAGGTAATTGACGTCTGAAATTAAAAAAAAATATATATATATATATATATATATATGTTATACATAAAAGTTTTTAAATAAATAATAATTATAAATGAATATTCGGAGTCTCTTACAGTGCATCGAAAGTAGTAGTACTATGATTCATCAAATTTTGTCCAATATAAAAAAAGATGTATGCAATAAACATAGAAGCAAATATGAACATTATTATTTCGATATTTTCATTCATTTTTTTCAAATCCATTGAAAATTGTAGTATCTAAAAAATATATTCTATATACATATATATACTAGGTTGCTTCGGTCACTCGTTTCTGTAGTTTTGTTATAAAATGTTGATTTAATATAATTCTAAACTATTTAATAAATTATAACAACACAAAATCAAATACATAAAATAATAATACTCGAAAAAAATATAAAAAGTAAGGTTAATTATGTCATATGTAAATTGAAATAATTGAATTGCAATACAGCACCATCTGTTGAAAGTTTACAGTACCAAGAGTCTTACATAAACCTCTAAATAAAAAATCCTTAAATTAGTAATAAAAAATAACAAATAATTGCTATGATGAAAACTATCCAACATGCTAAGTTGAAAAATAAAATTCACACAAAATAAACAAAATTTTATTAAATATCGGTTCAGTAGTTACATAATTATATATGTAAATAATGTAATAAATCATATTAATGTAATAATATTAATAAAACATTTATTACTTACACATATAAAATTTAACGTGATTACAATCATCAAGAAAAAAACGGAGACCAATACAATCACTTCTGTCATAGTATTCAATAAATCGATTAACCTTTAAGAAAAAAAACAAAAAAAAAAACAAAAAGAAATAAAAAAAAAACATAATTATAAACAATTTTTTTTGAACTAACATTTTAGTTATTATAAATTAAACAAAAAACAAAAATTATAAATAATTTCGACTAA